GCTTGCCCCCTTCTAGGGACATGGGCAGTGTTGGGCCAACAGACGGAATGTGTGCCAGCTCTCTTGCAGGGTGTGGGTTGTTTGGACGCTCCTGGGTATCCTCCCTGACTGGAGTACTGAGTGATTCGGGTGAGTAGTGATTATGCCCCTGGGATGACTCCCTGGCTGGAGTAGGCACTGGTGCCTGAGTTCTAGTTGGGCTCCATGAATTCCTGTGTGGAGCACTTGCGGAATCTCGGAATGGGCTGTCAGTAGTTCCCTCATTAATGATAGGCAGCAGCCCGCACTCTTCCCTTTGCCCAAAGGGGTCCCCCTCCCCCCCTGGAAAAGAACCAGGAGTCTCAATGGGAAGGTCCCGTCTGGTGCGGAGCTGGTCGATATGTCGTCGCAGGACACGACCGTCATCCAGGGAAACCTCGTAGGACAAAGGACCTGTGACCCTGGACACAGTGGCAGGGACCCATGAATGACCAGGCCCGTAGTTACGGGTCCAAACCGAGGCACCCACAAGCAGTTGTCTAGGTGCCCTGGGGTGTGTGATTGTGGAAGGTAGTCTGTCCGGGTGCAACCGGTCAAGCTTGGTAGTCAGTTTGCGCCCCCAATGAAGTTCAGCTGGGCTCCTCCCGGTAGAAGTGGAAGGTGTAGTGCGATAAGAAAGGAGGAAGTCAGCCAACCTGTGATGCCAGTCTCCATAGGTAATTTTCTTCAAAGCGTCCTTGGTGATGCGAACCATGTGTTCAGCCATACCGTTGGTGGACGGGTGGAAAGGCGCAGAGGTGGCATGACGAATCATGTTGGCCTGTAAGAAAGCTTGGAATTTGGAAGAAGTGAATTGAGGGCCATTGTCAGATACGAGGACATCAGGAAGCCCGTGTGCAGCAAAAAATCCCCCTCAGTACTTGAATAGTCTTTGCAGTGGTGGTGGAAGAGACAGGTACAATCTCAAGCCATTTTGAATGGCTGTCAACCAGGACCAAGAAGAATTGACCCTGAAAGGGCCCAGCGTAGTCAATGTGCACCCTATACCATGGAGACTGTGTTTCCTCCCATCTATGTACAGGAGCTTGGGGCATTTCAGGGCGTGAGTGCTGACAAAGGTGGCATGCGTGTACCTTAGCCTCAATGTCTCTGTCTAACCCAGGCCACCACAAATGGCTGTGTGCAAGCGCCTTCATACGTACAATGCCAGGATGACCCTCGTGGAGGGAACCTAAGACCCTAGTCCTCATTGAGGCAGGAATGACAACTCTGCTCCCCCAAAGCAGACAACCCTGGAAAGTGGATAACTCGCTCCTTTTGGACCAGAAACTCTGAAACTCAGTGCCTGGACAGCTCTCTGGCCATCCAGATAAAACCCAAGATAGGACACGAGAAAGTGTGAGATCTGTGACTGATTCAACAGCCACATCCCTGGCATTTAAAGGAGACTCAGGCAAGGCCTGAATGGAGAGGATATTGATTGTTGATGCAGGGTTAGCCTCTATTACTGGCAGGGGTAATCTACTGAGGCTGTCAGCGTGGCCCATTTCTTTCCCCGGTTTGTGAAATAAGGAAAAATCATAGGCAGACAGAAAGATAGACCATCTCAGCATTCTGGGGGAGATGATTTGGGGAGTTTGTTTATGTGTGGTAAACAGCCCCAACAAAGGCTTATGGTCAGTGAAGACCGTGAAATGCCTGCCATATAGGAAATCATGGAACTTTTTGATTCCAGCAACAACAGCTAAAGCCTCCCTGTCAATTTGAGCATAATTTCGCTCTGCAGAAGACAAGGTCCTGGAGTAATATGCAACAGGAACCTGAGTTCCATCTGGTCTGAGGTGGCTTAGTACGGCTCCCACCCCATAAGGAGAAGCATCACAAGCGATGCACACAGGAAGGGATTCATTGAAATGTGCAAGCACACTGTTAGAAGTGAGTAAGGCCTTAACCTCATTGAAACTTGCTTCGTGTTTTTGTGACCACTGCCACACTGCCTGTTTGTCCAGGAGCCTATGAAGAGGCTCGGCTACACTAGCCTTGTTTGGAAGGAAGGAGTTGTAAAAGTTCAGAAGGCCCTGAAAGGCCTGTAGTTCGGCCTTGGACTTTGGCCTAGGAGCATGCATAATAGCTTTCAATTTGGATTCAGCAGGGTGAATCCCAGTAGCATCAATTTTATCCCAGAAAATCTGTAGAAGGCACCCCAATTTTACATTTGTCCTTCTTAAGTTTGAGGCTCGTTTTCCTCAACCTCAGCAGGACAGCCCTTAATCTCTCAGCTAAGTTGTGTGTAGAGTCTCCAGCAATTAAGACATCATCAAAATAGAGGCAAACCCCTGGTATACCCCGTAGTATGTTTTCCATTATGCTTTGGAAAATTCCAGGAGCAACATTTACTCCAAATTGTAACCTCTTTACCTTGAATGCCCCCCTGTGGGTCACAATGGTTTGAGCTACAGCAGAGCAGCATCAACAGGCAACTGTTGATATGCCTGAGCTAGGTCAAGCTTTGCAAAAACACGCCCCCCCTTGAGGGAGGCCAGAATATGACTGACCACGGGAACAGGATAGGCATGTTGCAGCAATGCCTTATTCAGAGTGCATTTGTAATCTGCACAGATGCGAATGTCCCCATTTGCCTTAAGAGGCATGACAATGGGGGTCTCCCAAGGACTAGAGTCGACAGGTTCTAAAACTCCTTGCTGAATCAATTTGTCCAATTCAGTGTCAATTTTACCTTTCAAGGCAAAAGGAACCCTTCTTGCTTTAATTCTAATAGGGTTGACAGTGGGGTCTAATTTCAGTGACACAGGGGGTCCTTTGTACGTGCCCAGCTGTGGGCTGAAAACATCTGCAAATTCTTTGCAGACTTCTTGTAGGTCTACTGTTTGCAAGCTATTGAGCCCTGTGACGTGTATTCCCAAGGCCTCAAACCAATCGAGTCCTATGAGACTCGTTCGCTCACCCCCTACTACTATTACATCTAGTGGACCTTCAAAATCCTTATACTGTACGTTAAGGGTGGCCTCCCCCTTAACACACACTCTGGAGTTTTGAAAGTCTGTTAACACAATGTCGGAAGGCCTCAGCTTGGCCTGAAATCCGCTGCTAGAACAAATCTTCCTAAACGTGTGCATGGAAATGATTGAAAGTGCAGATCCCGTATCCAGTTCCATAGCCAATGGAACCCCTTGTAGCTTCACTTTAAGTGACAGCTTTTTCTTAATGGGCTTGTGTGTGCCTGTCCTATAAATGCTTCTTCGCGAAGCACAGAAACCCACCCTGTTTTGGCTGAGGACCCTGGTACCTTTCAGGCGCAATTCTTCCCGAGGTTGCACCTTCTGATGGCCCAGACACACAGCTGCAATGTGTCCCTGTTTTCTGCATGCCCTACAGATAGCGGAGCTGAATCTACAGTCGGTCCTCTTGTGGCGACCTCCACAACTGAGGCACTTGGGGAGAGCTGAAGAGCTTTCCTTCTGTTTCCCTTCTTTCGTGGGGTAGAGACGGTCTACTTCATCGTCAGGATCCTCCTCTGGGTTCCTTTGGACTCCTTCCTGGTGCACGGACACAGCTTCTGGAGTGCTTCTGATCAGCCTCATGTTCTTGATGGCTCTGCCCACTGCCTCTTCTGCAGTAACCTCTCTCAAGGCATCTTGGAATGATAAGTCTTCTTTAGCGAAAAGTCTCTGCTGCAATTCTCTATGCCTCAGTTCGCATACAAATCTGTCTCTCAGCCATTCTTCTAGGTCCTTGAACTCGCAGTGTTTAGCGGCTTTTCTCAGCGCAGCAATGTATTCTTTGGCTGATTCTCTGGGTCGCTGATCCCTCTGTTCGAAGGTGTGGCACCAAGCGATGACGGACAACTTGGGCTGGAAGTGTTCCTTTAGTAGTTTTTTGAGATCTGTGTAGTTAACAGATTCTAGAGGTACAGGTACTGCTATGTTTTCAGCGATTTCGAATGCGTCTTGACCGCAAACGCACAGCAGGGTGGCGGCTTTTAAACTATCTTCTCTTACTTGATTGACTTTAAGATAGTTTTCCACCCTGGCTACGTAGGACTCCTATCTTTCCAGATGCGAGACATCGAATTCTGAAAGTCTTCCAACTTTTGCCATTTTTGTAGAAAAGGAAGGGTCTATCAGCCAGCTTACCCCCGATGTTCGCTGGATTGGCGGGCAGCTGCTGAGTTAACGCCGTTCCTACTGCTCAGGACTCTAGGATAAGCTTACACCTGTCTTCAGTCGATCTAAGGCAATCCCACCTTCGTCGCCAGTGTTAAGTCCTTCGCGAAATGGCAATGACACGAGAAGCAGTTGTAGTTCTCAGGAACCTCTTTATTTCTGTTCAGCATACTGGTTACAAGACGCCGACAATGCCCAAATCTCCCTGCCCCTTTTATAGGCGATTCCCGGGCCAAACTGTTACATTTGGCACGCTCACACCCGCGCATGCGCGCGAGCTCTGGCGACAGCCAGTCTGGTCCCGGGCAGCTTGCACCTGCCCTGGACCGTTGCAATGCCCCGAGCCTGCTTTCACAGGCTCAGGACATAACATTTCTCATTCTTGAGAGGAAACAGGGGAGCTATGTTCAGGGAAATAGATAACAGCTAGCTAAAAATAATCCTGTCCAGTTCACCTAATTCTTGAAAGCATTCAGTGGATACTTAGAGTTTGAAAACAGATTGTTCTGATGAACTTTCAGAACTGTCCATAAGATTGCCCTGCCTCTCAAACGAACATTAAATACATACATCTGATATATACTGCAAAGGAGAATATTTGCAACAAGTCTGTGATGATTATGCCAGTACTACTCCTACTGCATAGACTGAACAACTGTTAGAGAACTGCTCTGCTCTGATAAGAACATTCTTCCTACACTTCACAGAAATAGAGAAGGCATTGTTTCTAAGACAGACTTCACCTATTTTGACATGTGGGGAGAATAACCCAGAATAGCTAGACTGAATGGGATTTTGGCAGGTGTATTTTCATTTTCTGCATCTTCTTTTTTCCAGGAGCCAAGATGAAAACTAAATTGCTACACTTTCAGACTGGCCCTAGATGGAATTCTGAAAGAAAAAAAAATGATTGAAAGCTTCTTATAGATGTTCCTACCCGAAGCAATGTGCAAAAAATTCAGGCAAGAACTGTGACTTGGAAACTATCTGAAACTTGTCTTATGATAATGGGAGAGTTTTCCTTTTATGAAATTTGAATTTAACCTATATGCCAATGAAGATGGAACATATTAGAAAACAGGAAAGAAATACCAGACTGGGAGTAAGGGCAGAAATGGAAATATCCTATAGGAAGAATGCAGAAGCTCAGAGTTTGTGAAAGGCCATGAAACATTCAAATTTAGTTCAAGTTTAAGGTTATTTATGAAATCTTCCCCCACTTTTTCATGAAGGGGCCCAAGACACCTATGAACCATTTCTTCCCTTTTAATCTGGCTGGCCTACTTGAGAGGGGCTCTTCAAGTTCCTTTGGTTAATGAGGTGAAGGGAGTTGGGGCTAGAAGAACTCTCTGGTAGTGCCCTGACTTTCTGGAATGGTTCGCTCCACAGTCCAGCTTACCCTGACTTTAAGCCCCCTTTGGAAAGGAGGTAATATGTGTTTTTCCAACTGGAAACTAGCATCTATACTTCTTATCAAATGGGCAGGGAACTTTTATGAGCTATAATGATGGTGGCTTTTTTAGATTTTGCTTTATTAAGTGCCTAGATATGTGAAGTTATGAGCACATAGAAACTCTGCAAATATGTAAACAAACAAGCAAACAAGAAAATAAATAAATAAATAAATTAGGTTTCCTGGACCTAAGAAACGTTTAATTAAATCAATTGCATATTGAGAGAGAGAGAGAGAGAGAGAGAGAGAGAGAGAGAGAGAGAGAGAGAGAGAGAGAGAGAGAGAGATTAACATGAGAAGATACTGTCTTCCTAGTGTACATGCTGCATAATAATGGAGCAGCGGTTCTCAACCTGTGGGTCGCGACCCCATTTGGGGTCGAACAACCATTTCACGGGGGTCGCCAAACAAGGCTGTCCGCCATTTTTCCCCCTTTTCTTTAGCTGTGCTACTCCCTCTTATTCTTATTCTATTGGCTTTTGTTCAAAAGCCAATAGAATCTATTGGCTTTTGAAAGCCAATAGAATAGACTCTCTTGAATAGAGTCTAATTCTATTGGCTTTCAAAAGCCAATAGGAATTGTCCAGGCTGTCTCTGCACTGCTAAGACCGCCAAAAGCCCCAGTCTGCAAATGGTGCTGCAAGAAAAGCTTCCCTCCCTGCTGAGCAACTACTAAAAGTAAGTAAAAGAGGGCCAGGGGTGGGAGGTGGGAGGCCGGCGAATGCAGGGAGGGTTGCTGGTGCACGTGGGGCCCGGAGGATGCCTTACCTGCCTTGGGCTGGGCCAGCTGGTGGCTCAGCTGGTGGTCGCCCTGCGCCGTCGCTGCCCCTTGCCAGCTACGCCTCGGCCGGCGCAGGGGGCGACACCACGCATGCGTGGCACTCTCGGGCAGGGAAAGTCCTCGACTTACGACCGGTTGGGTAGTCCTCAATTTACGACTGGTTGGGTAGTCCTCGACGTACGACCAGTTGGGGTCACAGCATTAAAAAGGTTGAGAACCACTGCACTGGAGGGACTGACAAGAGTCTTGAGACTTCTATATTACACATCAGTTGTAGTCATTTCTTGTGACCAGGAATGTAGTTTGGACATGTGCAAGCCCCAGAATTGGAGTAGAACTTTAAAATCCTGACTCAAAGTCTGTAACAGAAAACTCTCAGTGATAGGCCTGCTCTTCCTATAAATTTGACCCAAATGATTCTGGCACCAAAAACAGTTGTGATGGGTTTAAAGAACACAAACCTTGTGTTTGCACATAAACATTCATGTGAGGGAACTAAAGAGCTGTCAGTCTTTCTTATCTTTCTACAGAAGGCCAAAGGGGGGGGCACCCTGATGAAAGCAACTCTGAACACAGAAATTCCTTCCCAGCTCTGTTGGTCACAGCTAAAGTTTATAAAAAGAAATGTACTTTGAAATGATAGGTTGTTTCAATGAAAATTGCAGCTAGGAATCCAAACTGCCTCCTTTCTCAATGAGGACAGAGCTGGTTTAGTTTTCTGATAGTATTCGAACAACAATGCCTTTAGGATTACATATTCTTTCTAACATCTGCTTTCATTTTGAATTTTCATTTTATGTACTGAAAAGCATATATTAAATAATGAAGACAAGATTGCAGTGTTATTATTTAGGTTGAAGAATGTGAAGATGTCTCAATATGTTCTGTGCACAATCCTATGCATCATTTTGTTCCATCAAATTTTATTTTTGTTTTTCAATATATGTTGAAAGCCCATATTTTGCTACTGTTCACAGTTTTGCCTAATTTAGAGTTTTGTATATAACCAATGTAGTTTTTTAAAAAACAGCTACCAATAATATATACTCTTTAAATGTAACCACTCCTAGTAAGTTTTTAAATGTGTGTTTTTTTCCAAAAGCCATATTTGGGGAGGATAAACAAACAGGGGAACAAAATATGCTAGTTAGTTTCATTCATTGCTGGATTTTATGCCATACTTGAGATATTTCTTTCACAAAATACGTTCGCACGTATTATCTAGCCATATTCTTTGTAACAATATTTTAAAATAAATCACTATTTGTGGATCAAATCACTATTATTGGTTCAAAATGCAGTGGCCCGTATGGTTTTGTGTAGACCATGCTGTACACATGTGTCACCTGTCTGACAGAAGCTGCATTGGTTGCCGATTTGCTTCTGGGTGCAATTCAAGATGTTGGTTGTCACCTTTAAACCCCTTCATGGCTTGGAACCAGGTTATCTGAGGGACCGTCTCTTGCTGGTCACATCCATCCGACCTACTAGAGCAAGGAGGCAAGGAATGTTGCAGGTCCCATCCCATAAGGAGGTACATCTGGCCAGACCCAGAAGAAGGGCCTTCTCCATGGTGGCTCCCTCCTTTTGGAATAAATTAGACTGGCCACCACTTTGACACTCTGTTGTAAGGCCCTGAAGATTTGATTTGCAGTTGGCCTGGGGAACTCAGAATGGAATGTAGACCCATTACATGGCTTATTTGACTGTCTGTTGTCCCCAGGGAGGGGGGAAGTATACTTTATTTTTATTGTTTGTAAGCCGCCTAGAGGCAGTGTGAATGAGTAGGTGGCTATATAAATTTTCTAAATAAATATTCCATAAAAAATAAAGATTTCATTGGCAGCACGTTCTCAATTTTGTTGATCTAGAACTTAAGCAAGTTTGTTTGTTTGTTTGTTTGTTTGTGCCTTCAAGTCAGTGTTGACTCCTGGTGACCCTCTAGACAAGTTCCTGCAATTTTCTGGGTGAGGTTTTTCAGAAGTGGTTTGCCTTTGCCTTCTTCCTAGGGCTGATAGAGAGTGGATGGCCCAAGGTCACCCAGCTGGCTTTGTCCTTAAGGTGGGACTAGAATTCACAATCTCTTAGTTTCTAGCCTTACTAAATGCTTGCATATGGAAACCATCTGGGAGTTCCAGTGCAATTGGCTGGGAATAAAAAAAAATCCTGGAAGAAAGCATTCCTAGATATACCCATGCTTCTGAGATCAGCACAAATCAGTTAGGTGCTGTCATCTTCTGAGGCTTTATAGTCTATATAAACCAGTGTTGCTTAACCTTGACAATTTTAAGGAATGTGGACTTCAACTCCCAGAATTCCACAGTCAGCAATGCTGGCTGTGGAATTCTGGGAGTTGAAGTCCACATGCCTTAAAATTGTCAAGGTTGAGAAATACTGATATTTAAACATTGAACAGAGAAGAGTCTCTGTCAGCCACCATTTTACTCAATTTCTTACTATTGTAAGGGTAAACATCTTTGAACATTATTCAAAAGCTAGACAAATTAATTTAAATAAAGAATAAAGTGACATATTGATATTTTATTTCAATTTAATGTTAGTTGAATTAAAAATATTAGTTTTAGATTGTAACTTAAAATAATTTCAACTGAACCTATCCATCTTCATCTATGGGTTTTTTCCCTCTTTAATGTTTGAGAAACAATATGGTTTGATTTTAAATATAGCTAATAAAATGTTACCCTTACATCCTTGATTAGTAATGTAGTTCTTTTAATTGATCGAACAAAAGACACTTGAATCAGAGCAAGTTTTTCTGTGTGACTGAAATTTCAGGAAAAACTTACTTTATTGAGGCTGCAAGAACTGCAACACATATAGGCATTGGCATCCACAAGGAGATACTGTAAGGGGAAGAAACAGCAAAATGAGCATTGCAACTTTAACACGCCTTTTGTATATGGATTGAGAAGTTGCATACACAGACCTAAGAAACAGAAATTGCATTGTGATGCTTCCTTTATTATTCTAATGGACTTTCCAGCTTCTGTGGACATCCTGGTCTATGGGCAGCCCAGGGTAACCAAGCAACATTACCAGATCACAGGCATGCTTAATCAGTAACCATATCCAAAGGCATTACAGTTCATGTTATATAAGTGTTGTAGGTGTATGAGAGGGTACACTTTGTTTGTCATCTTTAAAAGTCTGTATTCAACAATGAGTGGGAGATATTCTACATATTACTGATGTGTCATCAGGTTAAAATCTGGCATTGTGACTTCACCCAGAGTGAGATTAATTCTCTCAAGTAAATTGTATTATTCAGGAGCGCTTCTGCAAGTAATGATAAAATGATAAGAAGATAAAGTCATATTTAGGCTCTGTACAAATATGCCACAAAATAAATCAAAATTTCCCCTGTGGCTTTAAGTCAACTTCCTCTGCATGACAGGGTTATTATTTGCCAAATTGAATGCTGATTGGGTGCATTGTCTTGTTTCCTCATAATTTAATCCGGCTGTCTTCCTTTTATAGAATTCTTAGAAGTCACTCAGTTCACTGTTCCATTCTTGATTTATTAACACCCACATGTACACACAATCAATAATAAAAAAAAATCAGAAACTATTTCAGAGGGAGTAGAATGCTTTAATAAGCTGCCAACATTCAACAGTACTATATTTCTATGGGCTAAAATAAATTCTATGTGATATTTGAAAAGCTGAATCATATTTTGGAATCAGGTGACCCATGTGCTAGCATACTCTTCAGTCCACCAAAACTCACGTTAACATAAAAATGTTAGTTTTTCAGATTATAGCTTTTGCCACAATATATTAATATGGTGCTACTTATCCTCTAGAAACTGCAAAAGCTAGATTTATATCTGAGATCCCTTGTTTCAATTTTATAAAGAGTTTGCTGTTTGCTGTTCTGTACACACCCAGCAAGAAGATCTTCTATTTTCTTTCCTTGGTAATGTTGGTAGAAACTCTGGCCCTCTGAATAACACCAAACAGCAAGTTGAAATTAAACAGAGATTTATTGGTTACAACGGTTTGCAAAGCGTGGTGGACTCCAAATGAATATTTGAGCCACACCTGGTCACAGCAAAAACACACATTATATACATTCTATCCCGATGCCTTGGCCCCTCCTCTGAGATTACAATCTTATCAGGATCGCCTAAACAAAATACATTATCCCTGCCCCTTACTATTTTGTTTTACCTATTCCCTTATATGTACTTTATCATGAAATCCTATAGTTCAATGTGGAAATCCTATAGCCTACGTGCAGAACTCTTTCAAGATACGTGTACATGTAAAAATTGTGTGGTAATCTTGCAGTCTATGTGTAGAAATTTTGTGTAGAAATCCTTCTGTCTGCGGTTTAGAAATTTTACAGAGTACGTGTCACTTAACTTTACTTTTTATTCTAAAATTTTATTCCTAACAGATCCA